TGACTTGTATAAACCCAGAGACCTTTAGACACTGGTTTGAAATAGAATAATGTTGGATTGTGAAATTACTCCAAATTCGAACCCATGACTAATTAGGACGAGTATTGGAGGATCTTCCCTCTCTCCTCTTTACCTCCCCCTACGTATCCTGCTTCATTTCCATATCCCGTGTCGATGCAGACCAGCGAGCAACTTTCTTGTTGAACTCAGTGTGTATTCATATTCAAACTTACCTACTTAGACAGTCCCCTAACTAACCTCTCTGCACTGGTTCAACTCCACATCTACAGGCCTCCCTCCTTTCACTGGAACAGGCAGAGATTCTCAGCAGGAAATAAGCATTTCTCGTGTGTGAACGGAGCCATTCCACACGCTCAGATTTCCAATTATAGTACATCCCACTTAACTGATAGCTTATTAATTCCTTCAAACTCATTACGGCAAGCAAAATCGGGCTCACCCATGAGATGAATACTAATGAAAGGGAAAACTTCTCGTCGGTGCTGCTGCTTTCTTTTTGTTTAGGCTTTTTGTCTGCTTTAGGCTCCGGCACACAGACAAAATAAATGGCCGTGGAAAAAAGAGCATTTCTTAAGCGTCCACCGGAGAAATCACTGTAAGGGAGCATTGATCAGAATCAGCCTGTCCTGTGGTAATCGCTTGTGACGGGAAGGACCTGCAGTACTTGTGCCATGGTGTGTATGGATTACGTCTAGACTTCAAGAAGGTCCTACAGTGCTTGTAGTTGGAGTAAATAAAGCTATCTGACTGACACTGAGCCAGCACAGGGCCAACCAAAACAAAACACTTCAATCTCTACTGCGTCTCCCCAAGGGTCTGATTGATTGATTTACCGGCCAATCAGAGTACATTGATCTCAGATCTCGACCCCCCCACATCCACAACTCCCCAGGCCTCCGCTTCGTCCATTCATCTGTTGGCTGTCAGAAGTATTCACTGGGGTGCTGTACTGTAGTTGTGGAGACCCGCGCTTTAAAACACACATCTGCAGCTCTCAGAAGAAAACGCTTTGCAGTCCCTCTAACTGTATTGATCCCTCACTGGGTCCGGCTGCTGATGCATCATGGGTCGCTCATATACAGGGATATTCAAAGTTTGCATAGTTGCTATGATGCTCACTGCAATATACAGTTTAGCATCAAACGTCATTCAGTCAATTGCTGTCTGATAAAACAAGAACATTTTTTTTCCCAAAGAGTCATTGAGTCGAACCCTCCCTATTAGAACTAATACTGTCCTGAACGGTTCGGAAACAATAGGAACCCACGCTAACAGACTGAGGAACAGCTTCTCTCCTAGAGCTGTGGTCTCCATCACACCCCTCCCTGCCCAACCACAGAACCCATTTAAATAACTGTGAACACACACACCAAGGTTTATGACACACACACCCGTCTCAAATGTATCAAACACCTATTTATAAACACCCAAACTAAATCTGTAGTGTTGTACCTTTACCTGTACATTTTAGCAGTGGAGAACCGTCAGGGCCTTCAAGGTATTCAGAGAATACCCTGGAACACTCAGATAAAACAAACAAACAATCGATTTAATTATATAAATAAAATGTAATAAAATGTATATAAAATGAATAAATGAGAATGGTATCCGTGTTGTTGATCTGTAATATTACAGTGTTACGTTGATTGGTTTGTCCTTCTCGGACCATGCACTACACATTTCAGTGGTTTTGTGTTAGAAAAGAAAGCAACCAATCAGATCTTGTTCTGGGTCTCTCGGTAGAATGTCCTTCAACCAAGGTATTCTACATCCTTGATCGAATGCCCTGGCCGTTGCACTGAATGAGAGCGTACGTTTGGACTGACAGTTTGATCAACCAATCATATATTGATTTGTAGCCAATGGGCGTATTCTTTCAGAGTTCCCCTCGGTTCCAGGGTATTCTAGAAGGCTCGCTAGTTAACTGGAGAGAGACAGAGGGTGTTTCTTAATCGGTTGGGGGGGGGGGGGTGGTAATGTGTGTCTACAGAAGGTCCAGTTGTGATAGACACGGTTCGCCACTGCATTTTAGTAAATTAAATATAAAAATAGTGCCTCCTATTTTTTGTATTCTTTTTGCTGCTGTTACTGTTTTTATCAGTGCTTTTATTTATTTGTTTCTAATGGCCTGCAAAATGTAATCTTACACATGTAAAATGACAGTAAATGTATTTTGATTCAGATCATCAGGTGTCGTGGTATCATTTCTGACTTTCAAAGTCCAACCAATCCATGGTCCGAAGCACCAAACTGGACCTGCATTGGGTGCTTGTCTGTCAGAAACAGTTTTATCGAAATATAATGTATAATACTAGAAATATTGAAAATGGGACAAGCTCTGTGTATCACCACACAACCTGTACACATAACTCCAGATTGGTTATCCTTTGAAAGATGCACCATTTAGAAAAGTGGTCATAAATGCTCATCAGTGAATCAATAAGAGAGTGTTGCATCTTCCCGCGGGAACATCTTTGAGAGGGAAAGTTTGCAGATAGACTGGGTGTAGATATACCAACAAAAATAATCTAACAAAGAAATGTAAACATGAATAATTATCCTTAGTATTTGTTTTATCAATATAATGTTTATTCATAGTGGGCTAATACCTGTAGGTAGCAATGTTGTAAACAATGACAAGCACTACTCCCAGTAGTCATTTCAGGTTTCTTACAAGGACTAGAACCGGATCAGTGGAGGATTAATATCATTGTCATTAATGTTAGGGAAATAATTATCATAGACGCCAAGATGTGACATACAGGACAAACCTTGACGTCTGTTTACCCCCTTTAAGGACACAGGCTGCTTCAGCCAATAATGTTATTGTTCCCATTCTGTGACTGGTCAATACTGGGTCACAGATGGTCTGTATTGTGGGTACACTGGGACACTTCCTTCTCTGGTGTCTGAGGACTCCAGGGCATGACATATGCAAGGCCATAAGTGGCGGAAGCTGGTAACTTAGTGTGCCCAAACTATCTAAAGCTATCTTATCAAAACATGTTGATGACTCTCTGTGGAACCAGTTAAATGGGCTAGCAAGAGAGAGGCTCTCCAGAATTTACGTGGCAACCCACCCGTGCAGTCTCACCGTGACTCTCGTGACTTGTGATGTGAATACTCTGGCCAGGAACTCCAAATAAATCACAGTGGTTTGACATCAAAGCTCCGACTCCTCCCGTGTCTCCTTCCTGAGTCGGTGACTCCACTGCATTGCTTACACAGAAGTTTCCTCTACAATTAATATGCAGGAAAGAGACTGGTCTGTGTTGCTGTACAGCAGGCCTATTCAAATGGCGGCCCGCGGGCCAGATGCGGCTCAGAACCAACTCCCGAGTGGCCCAGCCTCCCGTAGCCAAATTCCTACACTAGTACAGACCATGAACGCAACACTCTGCGTTGCATAGAAACCACTAGGCCACAACGCAGCACGTTTTTTGAAAGTGCATCTAGTGGTGCTAGTAACGGTGGTCCTATGATAGCAACTCTAAAACATGTCTCTCTCAACTCTGAAGCGTAAACAGAGACAAAACGGTCATTGATCTTGTGGAGCAGATGCTCGCATTCCAAGTCAAGCTGGACCTTTTCGCGACCGACTTGAGTACGGGTCGGATGCTTTTCCGACGCTCCACAAACACATCACATCCCCGGCACAAATCACGGATGTGATGACAGATTTCATTGCGAGGTTGAAAGAGAACTTTGCCGGTCGATTGGATGGACTTGCTCTGCCCACAGAGGTGATGGGCTTTGTCAGAGACCCCTTCACTGTTGCAATAGAGGGGGACGTATCAACCAGAGCAAAGGAAGTGGTCCCCTGCATCGACGAGGGGAAATTTATACTGGAACTTATTGACATGCATTCATCCGTAACCATGGCACAAGAGCAGCGCACTAACGGGCCAGCAAAGTTTTGGAGTGATGTCAAAAAACAGCAGATCCCTTCATTCAGAAAGTAGCGATCTGTGTGCTCAGTTTGTTTGGATCAACATACAAATGTGAATCAAGCTTTTCACACATGAACTCAATAAAAAGTAGCACTCGCTGCTCCCTGACTGACAGCACTCTTCACCAATGTCTTAGGATTGCATTGACATCCTATGAGCCAAAAATCACTGCTCTTGTTCAAAACAAAAAAATGTCACTTCTCCCATTGAGAAAGTCAGCGATGACAAATCACAAATGAGGTGATAGTAAGCACCTAGTTTACTATAGTAGACGTGTAGTGTAGTATTCATTCATATGTTAGTTACCCTTATTCCTTGTTATGGGTTTGTGCACTGAAGGGTTTGACAGTTCTTTTTGTATTAATTTAAATGCACTTTGTAATGTGTCTGGGTCAAATGTGACCAAAACTTATGATTTTTTGTTATTACTTGAAAAGTGAAAAAATAGTATTGCTATAGTAGGCTACTACCTCTTTGTGTTGGAGCTCTTTAACTGTTTGTTAATGCACTTTTTGATGTGCATGTATGTATCCAATTTTATTTTGTATGTGAGGACATTTATTAAGACTTCTATTATTGTATTCAGTTAAATGCACTTTGTGATGTGCCTGGTTAAAAAAAAAAAACCCTGAATATTTGACTTCTAAAGCAAACAAATGTAATGCTACAACGTGCACTTTTTTCAGATTCTGTTAAATTAATACTAATTTGTTGTGTTTTATGCACTTTTTGACGTACCTTTGTTAGATGAACAATGAATAAAAATGGCATGTTTTTCATCGCAGTAAAATTTGTTGGTTTAAAATGTGTCATTACCCGCTTTTTACATGCCGCTGAATGTCTGGCCCAGCTGAATTTTGTAGTTATAAAATCTGGCCCAACTGAATGTGTAATTGAATAGCCCTGCTGTACAGGAAGTACTTGGAGTTATTGGCTTGACTTTTTCCTTTGCGCTATCGACAAACCCCTTGTTATCACACAATGCTACCTTGCTAAGTCGCTAACCAGTTGTGTCTCTTTCTTTGACAGGGGGAATATTCGAGTCCATTGAAAGCGGCCCATCCGGTGCTGAGGAACTAGCCTTTAAATTTGCTTTAAACACAATCAACAGGAACAGAACCCTACTGCCAAACACCACGCTCACCTACGACATCCAAAGGATAAACATCTATGACAGCTTCGAAGCCTCCAGGAAAGGTATTTATGTGTTTGTGATTGGAAGATTTGTGTGTGTGTTCCTGTGTGTTTGTGCGCACATATGCTATGCTAGCTGCTTTGCATTGTAAATGTATTCCCTGTTGCAGACTTGTGAGCTGCTGTGGCTAAGATTGTGACAATTAAAATCAGGCGAGGGAGAAATGGCTGAGCACTTCAATGTAAACAGAGAGAATTGATTGGTTCCAAGTAATGACTCAGCGGCAGTAATTCAAAGACCAGTTTGGTCCCCAGAGACAGCCAATAAAGTGCTATAATCTATCAGTTTTGTGTGTGCATCAGTCTGACATTTCAAGTCTCTTATCAATTACGGGCCATTATATGCTGTCTCAGTGATTTATCTGACTGCCTCGTATCAAACAAGGTGATTAAAGTGCACAGTGTAGCTATTACAAAGATATGCGGTTGTTTTGTATTTCCTCCAAATACAATTTAAAGAAAGCTAATTCAAAGTGGTCACAGCCTTAGCCTCAGTTTCAGCTTTGTGCTTTGGACACTTGTGTTGTGGATATATTTACAAAATACATCAACATTAAAAAATGAAATATAGCCCACTACCATCAGTGAGGTTGGACATGTGTAATTATGTTTGCACATATGTGTGCAATGTTTTTTAATGTTTCATTTAAAATGTACACTTTTGAGACCAACGCGACACACACTCAATGCATTTACTGCCAAAAATAGTCAGGGAGCACAGCTGAACCCTGCTGAGCTGCTTTCTGCTGACGGCTCTCTTGTCCCCTGCAGCTTTTGACTTTTTGACGAGTGAGCAGGTCAGGCCTCATTTTGTGTCGCATATATGCACTAAGCTGGACTGGCTTCAGTTAAATTAGGATGAGAAATAGACAAAGCAAAAACTGAACCAAAATACTTCAGAAATGAGGGTCCCCAATCCATGTCCATCATGATTTGTAGTAGTGTACATTTATTGTTGATTTGGATCCGTACATGAGATTTGTTGACAATAAGAACAACCTAACCTAACATACCTACAGACTTGAAATAAAGCTTTTAACATACAGTGCATCCTTAATGCTGGATTGTTGCATATGGACATCATCCTGCAGCCTTGTTTACATCACACAAAGACTCTGTACTGTGGTGGTGATCTTGGCACAGGTCATCATGAACATGCTGCATCACAGCAGGACACAGCTAACAGGTCAAATGTCCCTCCCCCCTTCTCTAGCCTGTGACCAGCTCTCTCTGGGGGTGGCGGCCATCTTCGGGCCCTCTCACAGCTCCTCAGCCAACGCCGTCCAGTCCATTTGCAATGCCCTGGGGGTGCCACACATCCAGACCAAGTGGAAGCACCAAGTGTCGGACAACAGAGATTCGTTCTACGTCAGCCTCTTCCCAGACTTCTCCTCCCTCAGCCGGGCCATCCTGGACCTGGTCCACTTCTTCAAGTGGAAGACGGTCACTGTGGTTTATGATGACAGCACTGGTAAGAGCACATCACTTCCTACTGGTTCATTTAATCTGTTCACTTCTGACTGGTGCAGCAGAGACCAGGATGTTGTTAACTTATTTATTCCAGAACTATTTAATATTGCAAAATGTGGATATTTTTTCTACATTTATTCAAACTTCTACGTCTGTGGACTTCAGTTTGAACACATCAAACTGTATCCTTTTTTTTGTTAAACTGTTGATATAATAGTTCAATACAATTTATATTTGTTCTTGTAACGACCTGGGCCAAATATTTTCAAGCCAACATTTTCACCAAACTGACTCATGACATATGCATTGCATGTAACTGTAAATAGAGAAAATACAAGTTACAGAATTATAGCAATAAACATATTTTCAGAAACTGAAACTAGATAATGTAGATAACTTTGTGTTTGATAAAAATCATTTTACACAAAAGAAACAAAATAAATCCATCGATGAATATATTATAAACCCATCTCATCATGCTTAGCGAATAGTAAATCCTTAATAATCTTGATTTGTATCCCATATTTGAAAGTATTAGGTGTGTGTGTCCACAACCAATAATGCAACTATTTAAAGGAAATGAAGAAACCCAGACATTGTGACCGTGATGAAGGTCATGTGAATGACATTTGTCCACATATTGCCTTTTTATGGTGAAATAACTGCAGTATCACATTTGCTGAATTGCAGGGCAATCCACTCATCAGTTGTTAAGACGTGATTTAAAATCTTGAATGTCAACATCAGCTAGGTTCATGAGGAAAGTCCAGGATCCCCAAAGTCAGGCTCTCCCTCTGGGAACAGTGAATGTCCAAACTGCTGTGCAAATGCTGTGCCTATTCATCCGTCCGTCTTGACCAATAGCGTGTATGTCTTTCTCTGCCCTGCAGGTCTTGTACGAGCTTTAGGGAGGAATTGATTGTTGCTGACCCCCGCACCTCTGTTAATTAAGTTGTAAAGTGGACATAGCTGGTTCACTATGGGGTTAATAGTGGCTTGATTTTCTGTCTTGGTGATAGGAAATGAGATCCTTGCTCGAGCTGTAAACAGCTTTACCTTCTCATTGTCGCCATTTACACAGATGACCTGATAGCGAGGACAGATAGCATTGATGGCGCAGCGTCTGATCTGAATGGAGTTCTAGAAGAGGTTCAGCCAGGATTCTATTTCATTTGAATCTTTTCTTCTCTTGTTTCAGCACAAGAGGCCCATTACCTGATGTACTGAGCAAAGTCAATGCAGCAGAACATTTGTATTATCATACCATTCTCATGTGTTCTCCCCTGACCCCCCACCCGTTGTTTTAAATCGTGTCTGCTTTTCGGGGAATGGGATATAAAGGAGGTAGGAAACAACCTCTCTCTTTGTGCTGTTTCTCCACCAAGCGGGAAGCAAACAAGCAAATCAATAACCATAATGGGACTCCTCTAACGGCTCAACTTTATAATGGCAAAACTGAGATGGCAGCAGCATGTGTTATAGCTCTGCCAGCCAGCCATAACATCCATACAACTACCTGCAACACTGCTGCCACTGATACAGTTTGATTAGGCCATCAGGGAGAACAAGCCACCATACAATAAACACTGGCTGGGAAACAACTGCTTTTTTATGATGTTCACAGTATGGCGTCCATACATACCTCTCTCTCTTATGCCCCGGCCACACGAGGACGAAAACGGTCGTTTGCATTACTGTTTAGTGTCATATAGACCGTTCGGCCACACGAGGACGACCGAATACGGCACTAAACGACTGCGTAAACGATAACGGGTTTCAAGGTGGATAGAACGGCATACGCAACGCTCTGGGGGGTCCAACGGCTCCGTGTGTGCGCCCTATACGATCATTTTCTGATAATGATGAGGCAATAGCCACGCCTCTCCCCACCTCTGCTGCTCACCCCCGCGTCAAAGTAAACACTGAATTCAGATTATTTATCTTTCTCTCGATATGGACCTAAACGCGAGTGAAGTCTAATCTGACAGGACGGAGACACGCAGCTCTGCTCACCTGCAGCTCCTCCCGCTGTGATGCGGCGGTGAACGGAGCAAAACACACACTTCAAGTCCGATCATCACCCTTAGCTATTTTAATTACCTCTCAAACTACCTAAACTAGTTATAAATATGTTTATTTTTACTGTTGGCCGGGTCACTCATTACTGGATCAGCTGCTGCATGAAACAGACACTGGCGCTGTCCGAAGAGAGGGAGGAAAAAGAGAGGCTCCATGTATTTTATTATTATATTATATAGAGTCGTTATTCATTTGTTTTAAAGCTCAATAAATAACAAAGAAGACCTTTGACCGGCACTTGTATAATTTTGTCGGAAGATTTCAACTTTAATACACGTTGACTGGCGAAAAACTCTGCCCGGTTCCCTCGGCCCCCACCGCGGAGAATAAACAGAAGGGCAACCATGACAACCATGCTTCTTCGCTGCTTTTGTGGAGGAAGTTACAGCGCCACGTACAGGCATTAGTGACCAAAACAATCCAGTGGAGGAACGCAGCTTCTCGAGAGAACGTCTACAGACACACCTCTGCCCAATTTGAATAAAACTGATAAAGTAATAGAAAATATATTTAACCTGATAACTGAATAAATTAAGAAGGACATTCCGGTTAATTCCCCCGAAATGTGTGGTGGTCAGGATTCTGTGCAGGAAAATGATACAGTAAATAGTCAAACAAAAACAGCTAAAGACATTGAATGCTGTGTTTTCAACTGTGTCAGTGACTGATCCCAGTCCCTGCAGTCAACATATAGCAAATTCTTGGACAAGATACTTAACCTCCAGTTGCTCCCGAGGGCGTGGCCAATGGTGCATGAATGTTAGATTGAACGAGTGGCAATGTTTTGCAAGAATCAGGTGTGAATGGGTTAATGATGACTTGTTATGTGAACAGACATTGTTTTTCTTGGTTTGGACCCTTAGCGCTTTATCCAGTCTTATACAACTCCTCAAAGAGCTATATAAATAGTCCATTTAGCATTCCCTTCTTTGGTGATCCAAGAAAAACAAACAATATTTGTTCACATACTTGTGTCTATATAGTGTATGTTTCCCCTCATTAAAGGTTATATTTAAAAGGTCTGGTCTTAAAGATTACCATTACCATTATAGTTTGACTTAATAGTTTCTGTTAAGACTCCTTTGGTTCCTTCTTCTTCTTGTTTGTCTTCAAATACACTACACTTCAATATCTTAAGTTGAAAGACAGAAAACGAACGTGGTAAAATGTTGCTATTTCTAAAGCCTTCCTTGCAGTTTAACTGACCCCATGGGTTTGCTCGTCGATGATTCAAATTCAACCTGAAACTCTTTCTACTTTTCTTGTATTATGCATATGTCTTTTATAACATATAAAGCGGTGGAAAGTGTTGAAAAGTAATAAATTAAGGGCCGATACAATTCTCTTTTGGCGCCCATGTGAAATATGTTTGATTGATGTCTACACAAAGGGTTCGTACTTTCCACAATTTTCCAGAAAATATATTTAACACCAGACATTGAGGGGATGCAGTACAGTGCATGAATACAAAAGGAAAATCCCTAAAGATTAGATTTGAATATCTTTTAAAGAGATTTTTTTTGTCATTTTGCATATTCCCGAGATACTTTCAAATCAAATCAAATCAAATCAAGTTTTATTTATATAGCACATTTATAAACGATTTTTGGTCGAGCCAAAGTGCTGTACATATAATAAAAATAGCCTACAGTAGAGACACTTTACAGCAAATACAACAGCACAGATTGTTCAGAATATCAGTATGAGAAAAACGACACCCTCTGTCCTTAGACCCTCACATCGTACAAGGAAAAACTTCCAGAGAAAACCCACAGTTTAAGGGAACATGGGAGAAACCTCAGGGAGAGCAACAGAGGAGGGGTCCCTCTCCCAGGACGGATAGACGTGCAATAGATGACGTGTGTAAATCGAAGAGATAATACATTTTACAGCATATAGACCGAATGTTAGGAAATGCATGTGTCTGTAATAAGAAGATGAATCCACGAGGATGTCAGCTACAATCCTGTGGAAGCCATCAGGGAAGCAGCATGACGAGACCCAAGGCAGGACCGCAGAGACAGGTTCAGCCACGACCCGAAGTCCACGACTTAATCCAGAACTCAGGATAGCGGATCCAAGACACAGGACTACAGCAAGAGGATCAGCCTCGACTCCGGATCCCGGCGTAGATATAGATACAAAACAAGAACAAAGATTTGGCTGGTTTAATCGGAACAAGAGAATACACAGACACAGACAGAGAGGGAAAAGGTCATTGGATAAAAGTCATTCTTGATAACCCTCTAGAAAGATCTCATGAACTTCCCCACTCAATCTATCAGGACCCGAGCAGTTCTATTAGATATAGGATAAGAAACAGAGATAGGGACTTTGTACATGTTCATATAAGAACATTTTAATACAACTTTTTTTACTTCTTAAGAAATACTAGTCTTTGTATTATGTGACAAGTAAAGCTTCTACGGGACAACATATGACCTGCATTAACAATTACCTTTTACTGCCAGGTTATCATTGACTGTGGAGCACACATCGAATAGTGTCACACTAACATTATTTTGGAAAGCAAAACAAATCCATGTTATATTAATTTATTTACCTCAGAAAATAGTTAATTTCATCAAATATTTCAACAACTAATTTGCATATTCATAGATATTGTGTCATTATCAATTACCATCAAATGTATCTTTGGTTCTATGGTTAGATCCTGGTAATGGTCAATATGTTATTCTTCTGTCCACTAACATCTATGCAAGTTATGAACATTTATTTTCTCTATTCTATGAAACACATTGAAGTCTAATAAGGGTCATACTTGTGTGTCAAGGATAACATGGATGGAAGGCAGTTGGCCCCAAACACAGTATAAAAAGTATAAATAAAAAAGGGCGAGCTTTAATCAAAAGCTGGACTAAACAGGTAAACACCAAACTGAGGGAGCAGGCAAGTTAATAC